ACACTTTAACCTGCAATTTTTTTTGTTATGCTAGAAAAAAGTCAAATTAATACTTTGAGCAAAAAGTCAAATAAAAACTATTAGAGCTTTGATATTAAACAACATCAACTGTTAGAAAGTTTTTTTGAATTGGACAATACCAAATCAGTTGTTCATCAGATAGCAACGTTGATTAATTCAGGGTGTCACTGTAGCATCTGCTCCATCTGTCGATAAAGAAGAGTATCGTAGTCCAGCTCCAGAATTCAGTAAATTTTGTAAATCTTTTGACTATGGTGCATCATCGCCAAGAAGTGCATTGAATGCCAGCGACAATAATGCCTTAGTAACGGTAAAAAAAAATTAGCTTATACAGTAAATTTTTCTGCATTCTATTAAAAGTTTTTTATTCAACATTTTTTTTTTTTGTATATATAATAAAAAAGATCGGTTATTTTAAGAAGCAAAAGTTTATGTTTAAAATTTTGCTTAACAACAATAATATTATTTGAGATAATCGCTGAAATTGGCAGTAGAATAAATTTTTTTTTTCTTTTAGTTGTTGTTATTAAAAGCATATATAATATTATTTGCTTCCTTTCTTCTACTCGTTTGTACCAGTCTATTTTTCTTAATTTGATCATAAATAAATGTGGTTAATGAAATTTTTTGTTTTTTAAACTGACTAGTCAGAAAGAATGAATGAAGAAGTTTAATTAACCAAGAAGAAAAAAGAAAAAAAAAGAGCACTAGTTAAATATCATAGTTTATAGTCTATAAATAAGTGTTGTTGTTGTTGTTGATGGTGGTGGTGTTTAAATTTTAATCACAAATGTTTTTTAAAAAAGAAAAAAATTAAAAAACTTTTACATTAACTAATTTAACAAACTGTGGTGTATTTTTGCATCTGCAACATCTGCAATTTTTTTGCAGTATCCTGCAGATTTAGCAGTATCAACCAAGCATCTACATTTATATCATCCTCATTCTCATCATCATCATCATCATCATCGTCACCCTCATTTATTGCTTTGCTTTATATCGTTAAAATATATATATATATATTTTTTTTTCTTTTTTTATTTAGTTTACAAACAACACATTTGATGTTCTGTGTGTGTTAAGCAAAAAAAAAAATTTTTTTATGCTACAAATATATGAACAATTCTTTAATTGACATAATTAAAATCATCATTTTTTTCTACAGCTTTTTCGCTGTGTATTTGTTTAGACGTACTGAGTTATTCTTATTTCTTTCTGTCTGTGCCTTGTTTTTTCCCCGCACTGAAAAGACTAAAAGCTGAAAAATAAGTGACGTTTAACCTTTTTTGTTTT